TCTCACCCTCGCATTAAAAGTAATCTCATCCCCTTCATAGTCCGCATTGGGAACAGATGGAGGGTCCGGGCATTCAATGAGACCACACACGGGCATGTCAGTGTCCCACTGACCAGAGGGTAGGCACGTCACACTGGTCTTGCTCCCGGCCTCCTTGCTGAACTCATAGCCGTAGTCACACTGGTACCTACACAACAAGAATAGAGTACAGCAGTTAAAATTGTTCAAGACGGCCGACCATTGTCGAGGAGAAACGTGTTTGTCTTAGAAAGGTGAACGTTTTGGAAGGTGTCCTTATGTTTTGTTTTGTTTTTGTTTTCGGAAGGGGGAGTAGATGATTTTCCTTCTTTTTTTATTATTGCGGGGGAGGGGTGTTCGTTTGTTTGGTTTTTGGCCCGTCTAACTATTTGGTGCCGGACATTTTTGGTGGTTTCATAGACAATGAGTCAACGTAGTACACGTCGCAATTATTATACTTTCAGAAGAAGTGGGAGGGCGGAGAGGAAAGTACAGGCGAGTGCTTTGGACTCGTATTTGGTGATTAGAGCAGGTTCGTCTGTAATTGTAAAATTTCTTGTACTTGTATTAATATGTTTCACGCAATAATGATATCATGTCGATGAATATTGGTGCTTTGACCCTACCTCTACAACAACAGCAACAACAACCACAACAACAGCAGCAGCAACAGATAAATATGTTTTATGGCTGAATGACTTCCTTCAAAATCGCCAGGCCAGAGTCCGATTCAACGAAATACTGAGTAAGTACAGAAAAATGAGCCGAGGCCTCCCACAGGGTTCCATCCTGGCACCCATCCTCTTCCTCTTTTATATCGACGAACTGGCGAAACTACTTCCAGATGATCTCACAATTTCACTCTGCGCTGACGACGTCTCTTTTCTCGCTCCATCACGCACGGCACGAGACGCGGAAAGTCTGGCACAAAGAGCGGTGGACACCGTTGCTAACTGGAGTAGGCGATGAAAACTGGCACTGAAAGGCTCGAAGAGCGAGACTACATTCTTCACGCTCGCAACATCTGGCTCGGAATGGAAGCCATGCATCACGATCAATAATTCGACAATTAAGTATGGGCCCTACGCAAGACCCCTGGGAGCCACACTCGACCGTAGGCTCACGTTCAGCAAACAGGTTGAGACAGTAATAGCTAAGGCCACACAGAAGATGAGGATGATCGGCACTGTCGTCCACTCAAAATGGGGATGGAGGAAAGACAACCTACGCAAGGTCTACCTCACCTATATACAACGTGTACTCAAGTTTGCGAGCAGCAGCAGGCAACCGCGGTTGAGCAAAACTCTGATAAATAATCAGATGGATCAAAACAGATGTCAGCGACTGATCACCACACAAGCCCAGTCTTCACAGATTGAAGCATTTCGAGCTGAAACTGGGGTGCCAAGCATTACGTCCACCATCAATACTAACTGCCTCCGATTAAGAGAGATGGCCCTGCAAATGAACAACAACTACCCCCGACGAATTGCGGCAACGGAACAAGTGCACAGACGCCTAAAGGACAGCAGAGATTTCAGGAAAAGGGCCGAAGACGCCCGCAAAAAGAGCCCACATCTGTTCAACTGCGAGAGGAGGCCCATTACTTCTTTCCAAAACCAGACTGTGGGAACGGGGAATCAACCCCGACATCGCTTTCCCCCACCTATCAGCATAAGCGGGAGGAGTGACTCCAGTGTGAAGATCCGAAGCGCTGCTCTACGTCGAGCAGGAGAGCTTGGCGCACAGCACAATATTTACACTGACGGCTCGGTGAGTGCAGGAACAATGGATGGCGGCGTTAGGATCATCATCACAAGGGGGGGGGGGAGGCGTCCAACCTGGCCGTTGTCAAGACACTGAGGGAGAAAAGCGCCATATAAACGTGCTCTTTCAAGGAAGACAGGGAAAGCCTTGGAAATGGCCATTGACTGGATCGGCAAACAGTGTGATGCCTCAAACTCGGTCGCTATCTTCACTGACAGTCAATCGCTATGCATGGCACTAGTGGGAACTTCACCATCCCTCGACCAAATTCGACTACGCATAAATAATACAACACCTCAACCCACGATTCAGTGGATCCCTGGTCATTGCGATATTCTCGGCAACGATCTCGCTGACAGTATTGCCAAACTGGCAACAGCGCTGCCGCGTCCAGGCCGCCAAATTGCATATGAAAGTGCGTGCGCCCAGCCAGATAAAACTGATCACGAAAGACCCTCCGATGTCCCACACGTGGACGAAGGAAATATACAAGGCAATTTCTTTAAAATGAGAGGCTCAAATTAAGTCCCGCAGTGACCAGTCACTACTGGCAAAAACCAGGACTGGTCACTTCTCTGGGCTGTGGGCCTACAAAAATAGAATAGTCAAAACATCGGACCCAATCTGTCCATTGTGCAGCGAGGAGCCCAAGATTTGGAGCACTGGCTGCAGAGATGACCCACCACGGAGGTCCGCGGGGGCATCTCTTTTTTTT